CTGAACTAGTTGGATCAATGGTTTGACTCGGTATAAGGCAACTTTATGTCTTCCTAGGCATCTTCCCTAGAGATGCTGTGAGCTCTCACCTGATGACAGCAAGGGAATTCATTTTTCTGGACCCATCCTGTTCCACAATGGCTTTTGGACACTGTTCAAAGGTAGCCAACGTGTCCTTCAGATGTTGCTAGACTACAACTCCCATCACCTTGACCATCGGCCATTCTGGCTAGGACTGTAGTCCAACAATATTGATGACCCCATATCCAATGAAGACAAAGAGGCAGAAGAAGCTCTCTATGGCTGGACCTAGACACATCAAAGAAGCGTTTTGGTTTAAAGCGTTGTAAATTTAAACAGGGAAAACGGGTAGAGAAAAATGGTACTCCACATCGCCATCTGGTGGGAAAACGTTATATCGCATATACAACACATATAAATCACTTTTTCTTACGAGTCCTAAGTTTCAAAGAAAATGTTGTATCATTGCATCCTTAATCATGGCATACGGCTGAATCTAAAACCATCTGAAGGAACAGTCATGGTCTGTAAATACTATTAAAGCCATGCTTTTACATGGAGCTAGCTGAAGAGACAGTTCTCTTGATGCTCTTTGTTAGTTAAAGCGGCTCAACATAATAGCCTTTATCTAAAGCCCATTGCAACGGGCTTCCCTCTTGTCCTACAGATATTTTGAACTACATTTTGACTGTTGTCCGCGCTGGGTGGGACTGATGAAAGTTGTACAGTGGTACCTTGGTTCTCGAACTTAATCCATTCTGTAAGTCCATTCGACTCCCGAAACTGTTCAAAAACCAAGGTGTGGCTTCTGATTGGCAGCAGGAGCTTCCTGCACTCAAGCGGAAGCCGTGTTGGATGTTCAGCTTCCGAAAAGGTTCGCAAACAGGAACACTTACTTCCAGGTTTGCAGCGTTCAGGAGCCGATTTGTTCGGCAACTAAGTTGTTCGAGAACCAAGGTACCACTGTAGTCCAAAACAGCTGAAGGGCACTATGTTGGGAAGGATTCTTCTCTCACCCTTAAATTATACTGCCAAAATGAAGAAAGCTTGGGGAAAGCCTGAAGTCGATTTTTCTGCAAAAAGACTTGGGGTGTGCGTGTCAGATAAATTCTCATACAGAATACAAATTTGAAACGTGAAGCAGGGTAGGTTCTGACTGGTGGATCTGAAGGTTTTAGTAAACAACAACACATAAGTAGATCCCACAAGCCTGAAGTCTGCCTACACTTATAGTAGGTGATATTCTCTGGCAATAAAATAAAATCTGATTTAACTCTTCCAGCAGCTTGGCACACATGTAAACAACACACACAGCGCAAATTTTTATGTATCTATCTGATCTAGTCACTTCTCTATGTAATGTTTCCATCATATCAAACATCAAAAAATAAATATTGATTTAATGGCAATAACCATGATATTCCACAGGGGCCCTCTCACTGCTTCACTCTGTAATCACTCAGTTTTTGTTATTTTGTAGAATCTGATATTCGGATTATCTGACATGAAACTTAGATAAAGTAATATTTGTTAATTATGCATAGCTTGAACACCCATTCTTTGCTTCAGTGCACAGCCCTCTGCTTCAATGTATTATTTGTATAGGTACCTGGAACAATTGTGAAGCAAAACATTATGCACATGAATAAGACTGCAGGGCAACAACATGGCATTCTCCAAAGCAAAGCAGTATTCATTGTCTCTTCTTCTAAATTCTGTTTCATTGAAGTTTATGGCTTGCTCTTGTTTTCAGCTGATTAAATATATTCTTGGAAATCTGAGAGATTATATTGACAAATAGCCCTGTATGCAGGCTAAGTGGCAAGATCGAGAAGAGAATGAGCTGACATGAGATGACAAATAAAAAAATTAAGTGCACCACTGTGTGCAACTCTTAGCCACCACTTGCCACTGGGTGTGTGTCTGAAAATAGGACTACATTTGCTTTGGCTAAGGTGTTCTTTGTGATTTATGGCCACATTCTTCACAAGTACACAAATTAACAGGGAAGATGAAAGTCCGTTGGCAGGAGATTTGTAGAGCTGCTGATTCTCAATGTTAAGTCCATTGGGAAGTACATCATGGAAGCCATAAATTTAAAGTAACCATAAAAGAGGAAAGCAGCTGGAATAATAGACTGTTTCAAAATGACCACATTACAGATTTGACTGTGCAGGAAATAAAATGCAGTGGCTCTTCAGATCTTTTCTGGGGATTCAACTCAGATATGCCTACTGACATTTGCAGACGTTCCTTCAAAGTTATGTGGGAACCGATTCAGAATGTTAAATATTATCACTCCTTAAACAGGAAGTGTAGTTTGCAACCAAAACTCAGATTTTCCAGAGTTTAATTTATTTGGTATGGTGTGTAATGTACAATGTTCAGTAGTTTAACAAGGTTTCCAGCATGGCTTCACTGAATTTTCAGCAGTCCCCACAGCCCACCACTCAATGAATAAAAAAGAACTGTGTGAATTGACGTACAAGTGAGAGCCCTGAGATAAGAACTCCAATATTTCCTGTTCCAATTAAGGCTGCAATTCTATACAGTTACTTGGGAGTAAGTCCCAAGTCTCATGTGGCTTACTTCTGTATAGGCTTGCTTATAAAAGAACTACATTGTCAACATTTTGACTGCTTCCCAATCAGGTAAAGGTAAAGGTAAAATACCCCTGGACAGTTAACTCCAGTCAAAGGCAACTATGGAGTTGTGGAGCTCATCTTGCTTTCAGACCGGGGGAGCCGGCGTTTGTCAACAGACAGCTTTACAGGTCATGTGGCCAGCACGACCAAACCACTTCTAGCGCAACGGAACACCGTGATGGAAACCAGAGGGCACGGAAATGCCGTTTACCTTCCCGCCACAGCGGTATCTATTTATCTACTTGCACTGGTGTGCTTTCAAACTGCTAGGTTGGCAGGAGCTGGGACAGAACAACAGGAGTTCACTCTGTTGCGGGAATTCAAATTGCTGACCTTCTGATCAGCAAACCCAAGAGGCTCAGTGGTTTAGACCACAGCACTACCTGCGTCCCACTGGGATCCTACTGAGCTGGGATGTTATACAGTGTCACACATGCATTAGTATACTTTCTTGTTGATTTTTGTACTGAAGTGCACTGTACAAGGAACTACTGTTGAAGAGTGTCTAGAGTTACAGTTAGTGCAGCCTAACTGCTGGTTGAGAGCTCGCAAAGACCAGTTCATTAGAATTTGCACTGGTTTACTATGCTTTCCTGTGCGTATTTTAAGGTGTTAGTTATCAGCTGCAAAACTTTACAACAGGAGAAATAAAGCTGCTAGCACATTTGCAAAGCTAAGCGGAGTCCGGCATGGTTTCAAATTGGATGGGGGACCTTCGTGTTGAGATTCCTGCATTGCAGGGGGTTGGACTTTGGGGTCCCTTTCAATTCTACAAGCCTTTGATTCTGATTGTCTAGTGTTTCTCCAGGAATGCCTTCACCCATGTAAGTTCTTTCATTTATTAAGACTTATAGAGAGGCTGGGCCTGTGAAAATGAAACAAATATTACAAAGACCCCAAAAGTCTGGTAGCATTGCCCTGGGAGCTTATCACCTTGAGTAGTTGCCTGGCAATACAATCGATAAAATTTAAAATGAACATAGCAAACAATGTATGTGGAAGTAGTAAATTTAAAATTTTTGCATAGTCTGTGGTACTATATGTTATTACATTTTGCTGATATTGTTTAGTTTGTTCAAAACTTAAGAATTCATTTATTGCAGTAGATGGATGTGACTTATTTTACTGTCCTTTGCTGATATTATACTAGCTCATATTACATGTGAAAAGGATTCCTAAGTTTTGTTGATTGCTTATTTTTATTTTGAATTGTTATTGCACGATCACATACTTTTGTTGCATATTTTGTCATTTATGTGGGTCATTTTTGGGGTGTATGGTGTCTTGGGGGAGGGGTAGTACTTCTGTTGGGGGACCTGTCATGCTCCTTCTGGGGTAGTTTGCCCAAAGTTGCTCCCCACTCTGTACTCAGGCTCCTAGAAGCTGTCAGCATGTGAAAGTGGCCACACCCCGGGAATGGCTTCGACTGGCCAGCTAAACCTGGTGAGGGTAGCCAATGGGTCTCAAACTCTCTGTAAATTAGGGACTTCTTCTGCATGCAAAGACAGGCTCTGGCAGATTGGGCGGACGAGACCAACAGTAGGTCTAATGGTCAAGAAGGCAGTTTCTGCACATGTTGTAGAGAGAAGTGAGGGGCAGGTTGGGCTCATCAACCTGAGATGGTCGGATGGCTCCTTGTACACCTCCTTTCAGCAACTCCTGCAGCCAGTTCGATGCCAGACGTATTGCTCTGCTTTCCTTTGGACCACATCATTGAGGCTTGTGCCCTGAGGTCACTTCGGTGTTGCTAACCAGCAGACTTCACCCCTGGAGGTGCACTCCATTGACTCTTGAGACTGACAGATGCCAATAGCAACAACAAAATGTGGGTTTTAGAGTACTTTGAGTACAGTAATGTTGAAAGGCAGCATACAAATTAAAAATGGAAAGAAAACCAACAATAACTATAATGATAGTTCACTAACGTAACAGATAGCAAGTCTGCATAGATACTATTGTCTTCACCAACATGGCGCCCTCCAGATTTTCTGGTCTACAGCTCCCATCAGCCCTAGTCCACTGTGCACTAGGTTGGCAAAGGTTGCCTTATCTCTTCCGCAACCATCATAGCCCACAGATAGCCAAGTGAGCTTTTATAACTATTTTGTCCTTACGAAAACACTAGCACATTATTCCTCCTGTATTACTTCATGACAAAAGAATTGACCTGCATTACTCAAAGCACAGGCCATTAAAAGATTACATGCCAGCCACTAGCATCTTACCAGTCAAAAGTGATTTACCATTAATGAATGTGTGCCTTGATGAATACTTCTGTAAGACTCACAGCTGTTGTTTATTAAGTATCATTTATAAAGCATTACATGACAGTAAGCTATAAGGGATCTATATACACATGCTTGTAATACCAAAAGTAATGGTTGATCACTTAAAAACAAGCATTTGTTGTAGCTTTAATTTTCAGTAAGACACTCTGTTTTTAAGCCGCACAAGTGGGTACTTCATGCTGTACCATACATTTGGATATTTATACATTTAGAGCATTTCTGCTTGCCCCTCATCACAAGCAACTTCAAGCCAAGGCGCAATAAATCACTTTTAAAATAGGCTGAAGAACACCCCTTCTGGAACCTTCGAAAAAGACAAAATCTTTAGCTGGTTAAAAGAAGGGCTGTCTACTACACGTGACTTCAATTACATAGAAGATTTCAATCCGTCAACTCTGGCTTATTCTGTTCAAGTTTCGTTTAAGGATAAACCTTTAAGAAGTGGGAAGGAGAGACATAAAGAGGCATCAACGGTTAGCACCTATATAGCAGACTGAACAACAAAACAGGTCACAGTCATGATGAGATGTATCACATTTCCTTTGAAAGTACAGTAATTACTTATAAATGTACATCCGTAAGTACTAATTACCATATGTAGATTATATGCAAATTTGTGCCATCTGCTTTGGTGACGCTTTTCCTCTTTTTAAATTATGTTCCTTAGCCAGCTGTGGGGTATCACTGTGTTACATCACCAGTGGCTTAACCCTCAATCCCATTGCCTTCATTCTTTCTACACTTATATCTGCCTTTTTATAAAGGCAGTGATTATGCAATAAGCTGTGATTATGCAATACGCTCTTTTGCTCAAAGCTATGCCTGCAAGAATAGACACCTCCGCACTTCTGGTCTTTGTTGCTTGAGTTATATGTTGCCTTGAAGCAGGCTAGAGATTTCAGGCTTTTAGGTAGGCTGCGGTTGATAGTTCAGTTGTTGCGCAATGAGCTTTTTGTACTGGACCACTTTCAATGTGCCTTTGATGGTAGATACACATACCTTTCACACATGAAAAGATGACACTCTAGTTCCATCCCTGAAAATTCTCCTCAAAAGGAAACTGAATAGGTAGGACCTCACTGAGTAAGTTGACCCTGTTTGTTTGTCTTGACCTGTTCCTCTATGTAGCGGTTCAGCATTTTCAATAATGTTTTCGTCTCCACCAGCAACAGATTCTGTCGGAAAAAACAGTCAAATCCCCAAGGTTAAAATTGCATGCTGAATTGGTTTTGACGTGTGTGCATTAGAAACACATATTTCTCACGAATTGAGGCCATCTGGCAAGTGTCTCTTATTGTAGGGCAATTCTGTCAGGGAGCTGGATTGTTGCAAATTTTATGTAACTGTCCAGGAAAATGTCTGGAAAGAACTTCCATTTTGGTTGTCAAATGCAGCAGCCACCCAGAAACCCACAGAAAACTATTAAGGAATTCTATGTAGGATACACAAGAGTAGCCGCCCAGAGTGGCTGGGGAAACCCAGCCAGATGGGAGGGGTATAAATAAATATTTATTTTTATTAATATTTATTATTATTGATTATTGTTATCTGCAAAGGTGAAAACAAGATGGTAGATACATTTGCCCTATACAATTCCTTCAGACTATTCTGAAACCTTCATTTAAAAAAAACCCTACACAAATGACATGCAAATGTTTTATTATGTACTTTTTCTCTTCATTGTTTTTGAAAGCTAAGATAATAACCCAGGTGAATATTTTTACCTTATCAGCCACGTGCCTAAATCTATGAAGCCAGCATGGAGCAGAGCAATGAGAAAGAAACATTTAGCAGCTAGTTGCAATATAAACATTTAGCAGTTAGTCTGAAACGGGGTTACCTTAATGTGGACAAAATAGGGGTGAACTTGGTTACAAACAACCACAAAAGCTCATTAATCAAACCCTCTCCTCCCCAGGTTTTTCCCTCCCTTTTTTATCCACATCAGACTGAATGGAAGTCAGAGGCGCATCTTCTCCCTGAATGACAGGCCTCTCTTGTTTCTTTTATTGTTTAATACCAAGGTGCAAGTACAGCACTTTTTGCTCTGGGCCTGAGGTGAATGAAGCCTTTTATTAGTATTGGAGAGCTTCATCCACGTCCCTTCGTCCTCGCTTCTCTTGTTCGTTTTCCCCATGAGACTCTCTCTCTCTCATTTTATTTTAAGACATCCCTTCCCTCCATGTCCCCTATTCAAATACACACATACACGACAACTCAGCAAAACCCGTTCCGTTTTCAAAATTATGACCAGGCCATCACTTTTTGTGACCAGGACATTTTGCTGGTATTCTAGGAAGATATTACAACAGCCCAGCCATGGCTGGAAGGATGGTCCTGAGAAGCAATACAATACAATACAATACAAATCCCTTTATTGGCATTACAAGTTAAGACATTTCAGTATCTGGCATCTGGCCTCCTTATTTACTTCTTATAAGCTGTTTCCTTTAAGATTTTTCTAATTATAACTTAAATACAGGATAAAGGAAGTCTTTTATTTGGTTGTTTGTATTGTTGTATGTTATGCTTATTGTATGTTATGTTCATGTTTAATAAGGGTGGATTTCTTTATTGGGGGTGGGGAGTTCATGTTATGTTGTAAATAAAATTTCCAATAAAAATTTATTAAAAAAATAATACAAGTTAAGATATTTCAGATCCGTGAGATAAATTTAAAAGGGACAGGAGTGAGGCTGTTGAGGGTCACAAGGCACCCGATTGTTCTGCTTCACCCTGTCGGCAATAGAATATAGATCGGCAACAGGTGGTTTTTATTGTATAACGTATACATATTTGTCTGTTCTGAAGTATGCTTATATGTACAGAAGCCTTGTGCATAAAGCAGGCCATACATTTAAATCAACTGGCGCATCCATATCTGGTTGTTCAATAGTCAGAGTTCTGGTCACAATATCTCAGAAACAAGCAAATCCATACGACGCTAGTCATATTCAGAATACACCCATTTATCCAGTTTACTAAAATATAATCCACTGAAACAGAAAAAGATGGGCCGGGGGGGGGGGGGAGTCAGCACAGCTTAGCAAAGTAAATAGTTTGCGGTGTATTGGTTTGAATGTTGGACTAAGACCTGAGAGACCAAGGTTCAAATCCATGAAGCTCACTGGATGACCTTAGGCCAGTCATATCCTCTCAGCTTAGTTTACCTCACAGGATTGTTGTGGGGATTAAATGAGTCCAGGAGGAGACCATGTATGCCACCTTGAGCTCTTTGGAGAAAAAAAAGGTAGGATATTAATGCAATGAATGAATGATTACATGCCCTGCAAGTGTCCTGGAAAAACTGGGACACCCAGTGTTTTTTAACGTGAGGGAACAGCGGCCATTTTGATCATCGCAATATCACATGAATTTGCAGTGTGATTCTTCTCCCCGCCCCCCAAAAATGCTTTTTTTGAGGCTGCGATCTTGTGCGGTGCCCTGAATGTGTGTTTTGGGGGGCCATGCTCCCCAAAAGTCCTTTTTTGGGGCAGGGTGGGCGGGTGAAATCATGTGAGATTGTGGTAACCAAAATGGCTGCCATTGCTCTCGCAAGAAATGGTAAGACGGTGACTCAGATTTTGGCTTCAAAGTGTTGGAGGGTATGAGTATTATATATCTGAAGTTTTACAGAAGAGAGGAATACAAAGTGGACACCCCCAAAATAAAATAGAATCTATATCAGTATTTCAGTTCTAAAATGAACTATGGGCAAATACATAGAAGAATGTTGTTGTGGGTGCTTTCCCAAAGAGTCAAGGGAGCTAAATTTATCCAGGATGTTTGGGAGACACTCAAAAACCACAATCACAGAAGCTAAGCTGAAAGGTACACTGCAGATCAGGAAAAGCACCACCAAGGCCAACAGGATACTTGCGTGGTTAGCAAGCAGAGGAAAGATATTAGAGGAAGGAAGCCTTCCTTCAGAAAATTGAAGTCTTATCCAGATGAGAAAATAAGTGTATATTTGAGTTTATTTACAAATATGTAAGCTGAACAACTGAACGCTCAAAAATAATCCTATCATGAGTTGGGGCTCTGGCGTTTAAGAAGAAACAGCCCATTTTCACCTTTGGTGGACGTGCCCAAAGATCAAGGCGTTCTGGGAGATGATCTATAATGAAATGAAAAAGGTATTTAAATTTACCTTCCTGAAGAAACCAGAGGCCTTCCTCTTGGGTATAGTTGACCAATTGGTGCCAAAGAAGGATAGAACTTTTTTTGTGTATGCTACAACAGCAGCAAGAATACTTATTGCCAAGTATTGGAAGACACAAGATTTACCCACTTTGGAAGAATGGCAGATGAAGGTGATGGACTATATGGAAATGGCGGAAATGACTGGCAGAATCCGAGACCAGGGAGAAGAGTTGGTGGAAGAAGATTGGAAGAAGTTTAAAGACTATTTGCAGAAATACTGTAAAATTAATGAATGTTAAAATGATGTTGGACTGAAAATAAGTGGTTTTGGTAATAAGGTTAACAAGAATATGTAAATATTGATAGTTATATGGATGAAAATATATAGTTATAATAGGTTAAGATACAGAGTAAAGATAAATGAAAGAGGGTAAGGATTTGCTGAAAGGATTTTGTAAACGGGAATACAAAAAGGGGAGGTGTGAGGAAGTCAGGGAAGTAAGGAAATGAAATGTAAGGTATGGAAAGATCGATGTGTTTTTTAAGTGTTTTTTTATCTTTTTTCTGTAATTTGTATTTTTTCTTTTTTATTTCTTTTTCTTTTTCTTTTCTGTTTATCTATGTAATCTTTTCTTTGAAACTTTAATAAATATCATTAAAAAAATAAAATAAGAAGAAACAGCCCATTCTGTGACCTTTAGTGGACATCTGAAAGCTATAGCTCTGTAAGGGATGTCCTCTGGGCACTCTTAACAAACCACAGTTCCCAGAATTATTTGAGGGGGGGAATTAAAGCATAAATGTGCTTAAATGTATGCTGTGGATATAATGGCTTTAAAGACCATCCTATGCATCAGTAATACTCTCTTCCTTGCTTATATGCTATGCTGAGGAATTTTAAGATGAGTATTCTATTCTATTCTGTTCTGTTCTTTCTCCTATCTGGTCACTACAAAAATTCCGTAACTTAAGAAACAGTGCCTGAGCTAGCTTTGCAGTTCCTCCCTACCAGTCCCTTTTCCTTTTGTGTTATGCATACACACACACACACACACACACACACACACTGTAAACCTGAGGGTAGGGATTGCATTATCACTTCCATTCACTTTTTGTGGCTGAAGAGTAGGATAAAATCCATCAACATCATTGTCTTGTTAGATCAAACCAATGTTTCCTCTAGTCAGTATTCTATTTTCTGACAGAAGCTAGCCAAATACCAATAAAAGCAGTCTGCAAATGTCCCAGATTTGGACGGGGGGGGGGGATTAAAAGTTATTGCTTCTGTCCTGTCTGCCTGCCATTCATTCATTCGTTTGTTTGAACCCAGGGCATTTACAGAATATGCCTTGCACCCAAGTGGTTCCATTTCTTTAAAACAGGGTAGCCCCTCCAGGTGTTGTTGGACTACTATTGATGAGGCTGGATGGGACTGATGAGAGCTGAGAGTCCAACAAAATCTGAACAGCCACAAGTTTCTCATCTTTGCATTAGAGATGTAGAAAACATAGCACGGAAAACCTGGCTCTGGTACCAGTGAAAATGGACACTTGGTTAAATGCAGGCTAGCTGTTCTCTCAGTTCAAATCCCTTTAAGGCATGGCAGCTCTCATCAAACACAAACATTTTCATTTTAATACCAGAAATTAAATGATTAGGACAGCTCAATTAACTTCTATTGTTACAACTAGAACACAGGGATAATAACAATAATTTAGCTTATTTGAGGCATGGGCCAGGGCCCGTTGCAGACTAACCTGGTATGGGGAAGATTCCTATCTCGCTTCTTTCCCATTCTGGGTTCTGTGATTATTTAAAAACTGTAATTAAGATTGTATAGAAACATGGAATTAAACTACCAACTTCTTAAGGCAATTGGTGCCTTGTGAATAATTAAAGTAAAAATTGCCAATGGAATTGACGCCAGTGTGGATCTGTGAATCAATTAAGTTGTCAAAATATTGCTGTGTAGTGCCCTCAAAGGAAATTTGCTCCCGAAGTGTGTATTTAAGGGCAATTTCACTGTATTCCTGCAAGATTAACAATTATTTTAATATATACCTATTGTGGTGATTTAAAAACTAGCCCGCAAATGAATATGCTAATATCTGATTCTGTGGAAACGAGTGATTACGCCACTTTCTAACATCCTTGGCAAAAGCTCCTTTGATCAATTATTTCTTGTTTAACTTCTTTTGCTATACTTTTGGATGTCACACTCAAGTTCTAGCTGCGAATAAAAGGGGCTTAACAAAGATAAGAGCACTACAGGGATTCATAATGGTGAAATCACTTACTTGCGCTTCTCATCTCTACGAGCAAATGTCTGAAGTGAAATTAATTTGGTGATCCCAGGTTAGTCTGCAACGGGCCCTGGCCCATGCCTCAAATAAGCTAAATTATTGTTATTATCCCTATGTTCTAGTTGTAACAATAGAAGTTAATTGAGCTGTCCTAATCATTTAATTTCTGGTATTAAAATGAAAATGTTTGTGTTTGATGAGAGCTGCCATGCCTTAAAGGGATTTGAACTGAGAGAACAGCTAGCCTGCATTTAACCAAGTATCCATTTTCACTGGTACCAGAGCCAGGTTTTCCGTGCTATGTTTTCTACATCTCTAATGCAATTACAGTTTTTAAATAATCACAGAACCCAGAATGGGAAAGAAGCGAGATAGGAATCTTCCCCATACTAGATCAGCAGCTGGAAGAGAGACCAGGGTTAGGAAATCTGGTTTGGCATGACTGGAAGTGTGATGGAAAACGAAGAAAGAAGAAAACATGTTACATCATATTAAATATTGGCCATTAGTCTCAGCTAGCAAAGGGGTCATCAAATTTGGCACTGTGCACATGTGTCAGGGGGAGAGAGAACATAGAGAATTTAGTTCTGTCCCGATTTTATTTATGTGTGTGTGTAGAAAGGGTTTGAGCTGGAGTGGGGGCCCTTTCTTAGACCAGGGGCCACATTCCTTTCTGCAGAACCTTCTGAGGGCCATATATCAATGAAGGGTGAAGCCAGAGGCAAAGTGGGTGGAGCAACAAATGAAAATGGAACCTTTGCACAGTATTTTAGCTCCACCCATTCCTCTGTGTCCACCATCCAGACAAGTAGTAGGCATTGTCAGTACTTAGGTACACAGTCTATCTGGGCAAAAACACTCAGGGAGGGTGCAGAGCAGAGCCGGGGAGAGGTATGACCTGGAGAGAGAGATCCAAGGGCCAGGTGGAGAGGTTTAGAGGGCCGCTATTGGTCTTTGGGCTTGAGATTCCCCACTATGGGGGTTGAATGTTGATCCCAAAGCCCACTCACCTACCAGCTGCACTGCCCTAATTTCTCCACTCTGTCTCCACCCCCTCCTGTCAATCATTATCAAGGGGTGGGGCCAGACTGCTGATTCAAATCTGGCCTTGTCACTAAAACACTTAATCTTGAGAAGGGGGCATTTAAAACACCCCCAACCTGTGTTTGTGATGGAGGTGAGGAAGAAATAGAAAAAGGAACAGGAGTAATACTACCACCACTACTACTAATAATAATAATAAATATTCAATTTATTATTAATTTTTATAAATATCCAATTTATTATAAATATTCTATTTATATACCACTCTTTATCCAAAGATCCCAGGGTGTTGTACAACATTAAAAACACATTACAGTACATCAATGTTATAAACATAATAAAAAGCAAACTGACAGACAACATAATAAAATGCTGTCTACTTACATTTTCCTTTTGGAGCATTTGGCGTGGAAGGATTGAAATTTGCAAGATGTAGCACAATAGTAGACCAGTCCCTAGCTTCGTCTGGAGGACTAAGTGTTAATTTGTGGAACTTCCTGCTGTTGGAGTAGCGGAAAATGGCTAGTGCAAGAGGGGAAAGTGAAGCGCCTCAAGTAGAAGGCTGTAAACTTTCTTAGGGTGCCTAGGGCAGGTGTGGGGAACCTGTGTGGCACTCCAGAAATTGTTGGACTCCCAACTTACATCAGCCTCAGATAGCCTGGTCAGTGGCCAGAGATGATGGGAGCTGGTGTACAACAACATATAGAGCAAACTTTTTCAGCAGGGGGCCGGTCCACTGTCCCTCAGACATTGTGGGGGGCTGGACTATATTTTGGAGAGAAAAAAATGAACAAATTTCTATGCCCCACAAATAACCCACAGATGCATTTTAAACAAAATCATTTAATAAAATTTACAAAATTTAAATAAAATATATTTTCTTCAAAATATAGTCCGGCCCCCCACGGGGTCTGAGGGACTGTGGACCGGCCTCCTGCTGAAAAAATTTGCTGACTCCTGATTCCAATTCTTGATTGTCCAGCATGGGAAAGATCGGATTCCCTGAACCTTGACATTTATCCTCCCTCTTCTTACTTGTGTAAGAATGCAAAAATACCTATTTCAGCAGAGTTAAAAATCACCATTCAGGAAACAGTTCTACATTTCACGTTAAAACTCTCACACCTCACCTGTTTTCCGGATGGGCGGAAGCAATCAGGGCCTCTAAAACACTGCTCTACTAGTAATTACACTGCAAAAAGCTGGTGGCCGGCCTCCCTGTCAGTCCGACAAATGCGCAGCATCTATATGAATGAAAGCGTACAGTCTTCCAGTGGCACTCTTTCAGACCTGGCCTATCTATTACAGGGTAAAGATTTCCCGTCAAGGCTGCAGCACTGCTTGAACTGCTATTATACTATCTACATAAAGTTAGAAAGACATTATGACTAAGAAGTTCACGGTAACTCTTACTGGCTCATCCACACAAGAGTGTCTAATGCTGACATGTGTTTATTGCACTTAATAATGTTTACATAATGCTACCTTGAACCCATTATGGCTGTCAAAGATCTGATTCATCTGTTTTTCCTCTGTTGTGTTTATCTGTAGAGACTCTGCAGCCACCAAACCAAGATAAATTGCACCAAGATGATGAACGAGTCCTGGATAGGGTGGAAGGCTATGAACCTGTTTTATGTACTGGGAGACATGCAGTACGATCCTATGCATGTAAGTACCACTGAGTTCAATGGGGCTTACTCCTAGGTAAGTACCGTATTTTTCGCCCTATAGGACGCACTTTTCCCCCTCCAAAAATGAAGGGGAAATGTGTGTGTGTCCTATGGGGCGAATGCAGGCTTCGCGCACCTCTCCGCAAGCAGCGGGAGCCCAGCGCTGGGCTCCCGCTGCTTGCGGAGAGTTGCCTGCATGCTGAAGCCTGCGCGCGCTGAGCTCAGCGCGTCCAGGCTTCGCGGACCTCTCCGCAAGCAGCGGGAGCCAGCGCTGGGCTCCCACGGCTTGCAGAGAGCTGCCTGTTTGGGGGCTGGGGTCGGGGGAAGCTCGGGCTTCCCCCGCCCCAGCCCTGTGCCTGGGGGGGAAATATTTTTTTTCCTTTATTTCCCCCCCAAAAAAACTAGGTGCGCCTTCTGGGACGGTGCGTCCTATAGGGTGAAAAATACGGTAGTTATAGGATTGCTGCCTAAATATCAAACTACATTTCCTGGAAGTTGCAAACGTCCCTTTAACCTGTGTAATAGTGTAAAAAACTAGGAATTAGGTAGGAAATACAGTGGTACCTTGGTTCTCAAACGTAATCCATTCTGGAAGTCCGTTCGACTTCCAAAAATGTTCAAAAACCAAGGCACAGCTTCCGATTGGCTGCAGGAGCTTCCTGCACTCAAAGCAGAAGCCGTGGAAGCTGCGTCAGACGTTCAGAACCTGGAACACTTCGGGGTTTTCGGTGTTCGGGAGCCAAAACGTACAAGTATCAAGGCGTTCGAGAACGAAGTTACAACTGTATCCAGATATAGTTCTGCACTATGGTGTTCAAATACAATTGCAAAACTAGGAAACCTGTCAAAACCAGGGCAATGCTTGCACCTACTGTGCTTTTTTTTGCTTTGCTTTACTATTTAAAAATACAAAATACATAGGAATAATGGTCTGGTGCAGCAACCAGCAGGGACTGGCCCAGTCAAACCTAGGGAGATGGCAAAGCCTGTAATGTAAAGGTGGTCAATGTGGTGCTTTCTGAAATTGTTAGACTCAAACTCCCATCATCCCTGACTACTAGCAATGCTAGCTGGAGCTGATGGGAGAAGTAGTCCATGATATTTTGATTGCAGCATGTTGGCGACTCCTGCTTTAATGATTCCTGTGTGTAAGAGCTCCAGTCAAGAGATTTTGCTGGGCTAGAACAAATTAGTTCAATCCAATGCAAAAGAAGAAATAGCCAAAGTAACACCAATTATTTATTTTTTAAAAAGGATGTGGAGGTTCTAGGAAATGATAGAGCTGATAGCTTATAATTGGTTCTGAGAAAACTGGTGGAACACACAATTAAAAACTGAATTACCAAGCATATAGATGAACAATTATTGCTGAAGAATAATCAGCATGGCTTCTGCAGGGATAAGCGCTGTCTACTTAACTGTTTAGCATTATTTGACAGTGTCAGTAAGAATGAGATCCAGTAGACATTGTGACTTTCAAGAAGTTGTCAATAGTCTCTCATAAAAGACTCCTGAGTAAGCTTAGCAGTCATGGGATAAGAGGACAGGTCAGTAACTATTAACTAAAGGAAACTGAGAGTAGAACTAAATATAGTTCTCCCAATGGATGGATGCGACAAGTGGGGTATTGGCCTTGGTACTTTTAAAGTTGTTCATAAATAACCTAGAGTAGGAGTGAGCAGTGAAGTGGTCAAGCTGTTCAGGGTGGAAAGAAAAAAAAAATTGGGTGGAGCTCCCAAAGGACTTCTGCATTATGGGAATTCAAGTAACAAATGATATTCACTGGCGATTGATCAGAAAAGGGATTTGAGTTTGTGACCAGGCTTCATTTGTCCGATCGGGATGAAGGTAAATGTCAACTCAGTATGCAGCGGCTGTGAAAAAGGAAGATTCCATGTTGGGGATAATTAGGAGAGTGACTGAAAATAAAACTGCAAATATCATGCCACTGTACAAATCCATAGTTTGGCCAGGCTAGGAATACTGTGTACAATTCTGTTTGCTGCACCTCAGAAAGAACATTGTAGAGCTGGAAAAGATTCAGAAAAAGGCCAACCAAAACAATCATGGGTCTAGAATAACATCCCTATGAGGAAAGGTTGAAACATTTTGAGTTTTTGAGTTTAGAAAAAAGGCAAGTGAAGGGGAACATGGAAAAAGGTGAAGAAAACATTCATGGTCTAGAGAGAAAGTGAACAGAAATACATGTTCCTCTCATTTTCATACTGGAACCCAGGGTCATCCAATGAAACGGAATGCTGGAAGATTTGGGAAGATTTAGAGCACATTTTTTAAACTATGGAATTCACTCTCACAAGAGGTAGTGATGTAACCTGCATGGCTACAAATGAGGATTTGACAAATTCATGGACAATAAGGCTCTCAATCACTATTAGCCATGATGTCTGTGTACTATCTCCAATATCAGAGTTAGTACACAGGGGAGCACAAATGAGAAAAGTGCTGTTGAGCTCAGACCCTGCCTGTGGGCTTCTCAGAGGCATCCTTTGATGGGATCCACAGAACTTTTCTTATGGGCTTAATACTCTCTGCCAGGAAATCTCAAAATCAAAGTGTTGGAAGGGACCCTGAGGGTCATCTAGTCCAACCCCCTGTGAGGCAGGAATCTCAGCTAAGTCATACATGACAGGTGCTAGCAGTGTTGATGATGCAGAGCTGCAGTGACTGGTGATAACAGCAGTGAAGAGACTGCGGTGCCCTCAGGGCAGGACTTTGGGCATTAAGTGAAGAAGCGCAGCCCCCAAACTCCGGAGTTGGCTTATTACATTTTGAACAGGGCTGGATTAACCATTAAGCAAAATGAGCATGTGCTTAGGACATCAAGGGAAAGGGGAGCACCACATAAATTCTTTGTCAGATTTACCATGGGCCATATGGTGCAGCTCAACAAAAATAAAATTATTGTTACAAATATACAAAAATAAACATTATTTTCCATCCAATTGTAGGTTTCACATCAAAAAATGAAATTTTATTTTGCCATTTATTCTTGTTTATATTTTGAACTAGATATACATGGGCTACACCCAAATCTTTTAAGCGCCTAGGGGTTCTAAATGTCTTAATCCGGCCTTGATTTTGAAGCAAAATAATATGCATCACCATCAAAAGGGTTGGAGTGACTGAAAAGCCATTGCCTCCAGTCTAAGAATACCTGACCGCACCACTGTGGGGCCGTGAAGAGTGTCTTGTCTAAATCTGGGGCATTTTCGAAATTCCGGTGCAGTAATTAACCAAGCAACCTGCTCTTCGGTTTTCCCAGGTCTTATTGCTAAGTGTTTTCTTTTGGAACGATGCATGACTTTTGAAACGGGGAGTTATAGCATCTGTATTTTTGGGATCCGCTGAAATGAAAGGCGGGTTCTGAATAACAAACCAACAAACCTGGAGCCGGACTGCCTCCTACCTTCCCTTTTCCACCGCCCCAGCCCAGCCCATGTTTCCTTCTTCAACGTGGGCAGGGCAGAAGCCGAAAGAGAGAGAGAGAGAGACGCCGCTCTGCGTCGCGCGGGCCAGCCTGCAAATGCGTTGCCCAAGCGTTGCAAGGCAGCAGCTCCGAAAGCACCACGGCAGCGGCGGGAGAGGCAAATCGGGAGCTGGGAGAGCGCGCCAGTGGGCGTGGCGGAGCGGCACGTGGACCGGCGCGGGCAGCGGCGCGGGGATACCGGGTGCTGCTATTCCTCCGGGTCGGGAAGAAGCGCCGAGCGCTGCTTTGACAGGAGGCGATCGCCGCGGCGCCCGGCAGCAGAAGCGCGCGCGCGCACACAGATACAAACACACACACACACACACACACACCCCTCGCCAAGGTAAAGGCCGTGCTCATGCCGTCTCCATTGTAGTCGCGTGTGCTCCTACCTCTCCATCGCTCTGCATGGCATACTAGTATGCACGGGTAAGCAAGGCGCTGGGCGAAGCAGCCGAGGAGCCGGCGGAGGGGGCTGCTCCGGCCATCAGGTGCATCATCCTTCGCGCTCATGCTCAAAATCCCGGCTCCTGAAGACTTTCTCCTGCAAATCGCACATCCTTCAGGGGAGATGCGCGCAGTCGGCGGGGTCCCCATTCATCCATACGGCTGCTTTTGCTGCGGCCGCTGTTTCGGCTTTAAAGCATCCCTCCCCCTTTTGTTGGTTTGTTTGCTTGTTTGCTTGCTTTCCAGTCTCTTATGCAGTCGAGCGTGCCGCGGGGGGGGGGGGCAGCGGAGGGGTGCGATCTTGCAAGCCACCCAACTCATGCGAAAAGTCACTCCGAGGAGTTGGCCGACTTTAGCCACGGGGCTGGAGTTGCGCTTGGGAGAGAGGGGGGGGGGTCTGCTGGCATTGCTTTTGTGAGGAGCTGTGGCTTGCAAGGGCGAGCGGCTTTGCTTTTGCAAGCCTGGCGTGGTAGGGCCGGTTCGTAGCGCTACTGCTGCTGCTGCTGCTGCTTTTCCCCGGGGCAGAGGGAGCCTCGCTCTTTCCCCGCCCCCTTTCTGTGCCAGCAGCGCAAGGGTCTAGCTAGAATAAAGTTTGCATCGGGTTCGGGTGGCAGTGCCCTGCCAGGCTCCGGCGACTTTTGGACAGCGGGGAGGTTGTGCATCTGGTTTCGGAATGAATCTCGATAACCTTTCAAAGTGTTTAAATGATGTTGCATGTTTCGAAACTGGAGAGGTGCTGCAGGAGCGAGTCCATTCGCGCGTAAAAGTCTTTCCAGGCTTCTAGTCCTCATGCTTTTCCGTTAGTGCGTTTAAAATTTGGGACGAGTTCAGAAGCGGTGCTGTTTAGAAGTTTGGCTGTTGGCTCAAGAGCAGGTGGCTCCTTTTCACCATGACAGCAGATTGCTGCTGCTGCTGCTGTTGTTTTTATTATTATATCTCTCCCTAAATAACGATGACGATGATCCAATTTTGCATTGGTGCATCTCTTTGCGCGCCCCCCAAATGTGGGTTTGCAAATGGCCAGGGGTGCTTAATGGGCAGTGAAGCAGCCGGAATCCATCAAAATGATAAAAGAGTTAACCCGAGAGGGAAGGGTCACGGGCTGAGAAGAACTGTGGCGAGTGACATTTTTAGCTGCCATCAGCAAAACCAGTTTTGTGTGCATGTGAGCTCACTTTTGGCAGCTTACGGGGAGGAAAGTTGCAATTTCTGCTTAAGGGCGAGGGGGAGTAGAGGCAATAAAAATGCAACCGGATGAAGCTGTTGCCCTGCCTTGTGCGCACTGGAGCTCATACTATATGTTGTGCTGGTGAAAGCGGTAGTGTGATAGATTTTTATTTTTATTTTTTGCAGCAGAGCTACATCCGAGAACGGGCTAAAAGGAGATTTGGAGACTTTAGCTCTTTTGCTGGGTTTTAGATAATCTTGTGTGACAAATGTCTCTGTTTCCCCCCGTGCCTGTGCTATGCTTCTGAGCATCAGGACAGAAGTGGAAAGCGTGGCCCCTGCAGTTAAGAAGTATCCGAGAGGAAGTTTTTAAATGAAGCTTTAAACAGGATTAAATGGCTTGTGTAAGTGCTGAATGCTGCTAAAGTGCCTGGGAAGCCATAAAATAGCCAGCCAAAAACAAAGTAAAAATAATTGTTAACAAGAAAGCGAAAGCTTTGCAAGGACTTAGGTAATGAACACATAACAATTGATGATACGATGCAGTAATTATTTTCGTATTTACACCATTAACGATTGTAATTTAACGTTAATGCCTTGGTATTTTATTCCTTCTCATTTGCAGACAAAAGCACATCTGAGACATCATCAGGGAGTAATTTGATATTCTAAAGTCATGAATAGAAAACACTAAACTATGCTCAGAAGTCTGACAACATAAAGCGGGAAACAAAATAACCTCATTTGCTCTTTATTATCTGTCTTTTATAATTCTGTTTACTATCGTTTGCATAAATGAATAGCTAAATTGTATGCTAACCCCATTTCTGTGGATAAAAGAATCCTTGATGCACACAGATTTGTTGGAGAACTAATAGGCTCTTCCTTGGAAAGTCAAGCAAAAAGCCCCAGTTTTAGATTAGGTTGAACATTTTATGGAATGAAATTCAGCCAGAATGCAAATTTGATCTACCCTGCAGCAGCTATGTGTCCAATTTTGATCAGCTTCTGATTGAAATTAAATCAGGAACTTCACATCCTTCTGGCCTTTATCTGTTCACTTTGCAAAAGGAAAATGGAGTTTTATTGCCAAAGCTTGTATTTAACATCATTATCTACCTTTTGGATATTGGTCTTGAATGGTTGCTTTAGATAATGGTTTTTGTGTGTGTGAGGGTGAGAGGGATAAAATACTACTGCTTTAAACTCCTGGCTGCTATTTAATAAATTAAAAGTAAGGAAAGTGGGTACGATGTTTGTTTTATGTGCTGAAGAGTTATGGGGGAAAGAAAAAGGGAAACCACTCCACAATCTTTAATGTAATCAGATTGAAACAGTCCTTTGCGTTTATTGATTATGGTGGATGGCAAATCTACAAAAACTGTATACAAATTTTCGGGTTTATCTCCTCACATCTCTTTGCACTTCCCCCATAAAAGTTGGCAGTAGTACCTTTTCCAAGAACACTATCTGCTGATGCAAAGATGTAAGCTTTTCACTTCCACAGAGCTATGTTTGAAGAAGAATGCATGTGACCGTGTTTAGATAAATTACCAGGGAACAATTTTTGTTGTTCGTGATACAGGCTGCAGTCTGTTAAACAGCTAAAGAGGTCGAACAAAAGTTGGGTAAGGACTGCACCTGTGTTCGTGTGCATAACACCTGTGTCCATCTGTAGAGATAAGTGGTCCCATTGGTGGTGTCAGGAAAGGACTTTGAGGCAGAAATCCAGGGCCCCAGTCAGCAGCAGTTTGGTAAGGGCCCCCCAATGCAGTATGTTTCCCCTTAAAGAGGAGTATGTCACCAGAAGGCCATAAGTCCAGAGCCTAAAATTGCCGCATTAGTGGTCCCACGTTAGAAATTTGCGCTCTTTGCTGCAATTGGAAACTCTTCTGTCACATCCTGGGCTAGTTACCGGTAGTTGTTTCAGGGCTCCAGCTCATTCCCCACTGTGTCCGCTACTATCTCTGTCTCTCTCTCTCTCAGTTTCTCTCTGGACTCGGCTATAGAGCTACAAATAAAACGTTTCAAGTGTGCTGTAAAGTGCAATATGCAAATGTGACACTAGATGGTGATGGTGAGCTATGGCAAATTCAATATATTTTTCAAAACTTTTTTTTAAAAAGCATTTTCACAGCATTTTTATATGTGTGTAGATTCCACCTCTCTCCCTCTGTGTGTGTGTGTGAGCGCGCACGCATGTGTACGTGGCACGGCTCAGTGATATCTGGTTTTCAACACTGCGATATATCACCAGCTAAACATCACAATATATCAGTATATCACAATGTCTGAAATAAGGCTGGAACTATGTAGAAGCGAACAGTAGGGCTGGGTTAGAAAAATCAATGTACTGCCTTCAGGATCCACAACAGTGATGGGTTTATCCTAAGTAGTACAAGGACTGGCTGAAAAGTTCTCTGCCTAAAAGTTTGATCATTTTTCTGGCACAGTTTGAGGTTCACATCTGTGATCTGTATTGGTGCCATCAGAGTAGTAGCTGGGGGGGGTGTCGGGGGACACTGGGCACCACACTGAGAGGGGTGGCACTTACCATGCCTGAGCCAAGCCACTCCTGGGAGTGATGTGGTGACTTGGGCGCCTGCAGTTGCGGGTCCTGTTGTGAATGTGATTGCATTGATAATGGCAAGGAAGGCAAGAGTGCATCTTGATACCAGCTGCTGGAAGCTACAGGAGGGGAGAGTCTTGTGCTTGAATCCTGCTTATGTGTTTTTCACAGCCGTCTGGTTGGCTACTGTGAGAACAGGAGACTCTCCTTGCATTCTTGAGGGAAGATGGTGGCTTTGTTTTCACTGCAAAGGGCTGGTGAAAAAGGAAAGGCACCCCATTTCCCAAAGCAACCAGCCCCACCAACTACATTTCCCATGGTGCTCTTGATTTTGGTTTGGTTCTAATGGTGCTCTTGCCTTTGTTCTTATATCACTTATTACTTGACTCTCAGGCGCTCTGATATAAGTGACAGCATAGAACCTTGATATGTGTCAGGGAACTGCCATCGGAAGGAAGGGAGGTGAAAGGGCTCACACAGGTTGGGAGAGACTCAGCAGCTGAAGAGGGAACCAGTAGGGGGAGAGGAGCTGAGCTGAGGGAAAGTGAGCTGGAGGGATGGCTCAGAGACACTTCCAGCGAAAACAGTGGGGAGGTTTCAGGACCTCCTGTAGGAACACCCACTCCTCGCCGGAAACTGTCACGCAGAGAGTCCAGAAGACGTGTTTCCGTTAAGGAGCTTTTATGTTGGAAGCGATTCCGAAAGCAACCACTGTCGGAATCTGCTAGTGACTAGAGGAGCCATGTCTGAGGGGCTCCGTCACAGACAGAGGTTTGTGGACTTGAACAAACTCTGAGGGGATACTATTTTACGCACAAGCAGCTCATCATCCCATCACAGCATTCCGACAGTCTTTGAAAGCAGCTTGTGCAGGAGAAGGCATCATGAGCAACCCAGCCGGAACCGGAGAAGCAGGAACTGGAGCGGGTCCAAGCCTGGAAGAAAGGTACCGGGTGTTGGAGGTCCAGCTAGCGCTGCAGACGGCGAGGCTTGAGGAGAGGAGGGCTCAGGATGCAGACAAAAGGGGAAAGCCACCCAGCTCGCCAGAAAGGTACCAGGATTGGTGCAGAAGTTTGGGGGGGAGCCCAAAGACTATCATGGCTTTCGGACAGAGATGCAATATGCCCTCAATCTGCAGTTTGATGAATTCCCTGACGAGGAATCACGAGTGGCTTTCGTGATTGGGCATCTTGAAAAGGGGGCGAGAGACTGGGTTAGACCCCTGATGGCAGCGAATAGTGACGTCCTAAAGGACACGATGAAGTTCTTTCGCGCCATGGATCTGATGTTTTCCAGCGATATTGAACAGGGAGTGGTGCGCAGACAGTTAATGGCTTGCAAACAGGGGAGCCGATCTGTCCGTGAGTACTGGACTGAGTTCACCATGCTGGTTCACAGATTGGGGTGGGACTTATCGGCGGAACCCATTCAAATGCTCTTTGAAGAAGGGCTTTCTTCGGCTGTGAAAGACGAACTTTCCCGGGCGCCCAGGGCGGAGTCTATGGACCAGCTGACCAAATCAGCGCTGACCATAGGAGCGCGCCAGGAGGCGAGAGCATTGGAGAGGCGGGAAGGGAGGGGGAACGTTGGAAGGAGTTCCGCATTCCAGACATTCCAGAGCCAACGTTCCCGCCGTCTGAGCCGATGGACATTGGAACTGCGCGCGCGCTCAGTTTCAAAGCCCAGTGAGGGGGGAAAGAAGGAGGGAAAACGCGCCCGGAAATGCTATCTCTGCCAACAGCCAGGTCACTTTGCCAGAGTCTGCCCCCAGAGGAAGGAATGGCAAGGGATGGTAGGAGCTGTGGAGGGAAGAGAGGAAGAAATACCGGAGCAAGTAAAGCCAACGCCTGGCTGCCACCGTCGGGGCACAGCAGCCAGGCCAAAGAGCAGTGAGAGTGCCCACGCCAGAACCTCCTAAACCCGCCCTAGTGATAGAAGTGGCGCTAGAGCTGCCAAACGGACACCCTCTAAAGATAAAGGCGCTGTTGGACTCAGGCAGCTCCTGCAATTTCATGAGCAAAGAGTTTGCAGCTGAACACCAGATACAGACGATCCCTTTAAGCAACCCCCTGCAGGTGACCACGATCGATGGCAGGGAGCTGTTGGGAGGAGAAGTCAGCTTGCAGACCGTCCCAATGATAATGAAGGTGGCAAGGCACACCGAACTGATAGCGTTTAATGTGGCCACCTTGGGAGGAGCTCCCATTATATTGGGGATGAGCTGGCTAGCGTTACATGATCCGCTGGTGGGCTGGCATCAGAGAGTGGTTTCTTTTGGTTCAGCACATTGCTTAGAACACTGCAAAGAGGGAAAGGGTTTGGCAGGGGCCCAAGCCACCCTAGCAGGGACTGAAGTAACGGAGAACGTGAAGGTACCACGACAATACGCAGATCTCCGCGACGTCTTCAGCGAAAGGGAAGCTGACCAACTACCCCCGCATAGACCCTTTGACTGTCAAATCAATTTACTCCCTGGGGCACAGCTCCCTGTAGGCAAGCTGTACGCCATGTCAGACAGAGAGATGCAGGAGCTAAGAGAGTTCATTGACAAGAACCTGAAGAGAGGGTTCATCAGAGAGTCCAGGGCGGTGGGGGGCAGCGGAGTGTTTTTTTGTGTATAAAATTAACACGAACAAGCCGAGGCTGGTGTGTGACTTCAGGTCCTTAAATGCAGTGTCAGAACCAGTGGCCTTCCCTATGCCCAGGATTGACGACATTTTGACAAGGGTGCGGAAGGGAAAGATTTTCACAAAGCTGGACCTAAGGGGGGCGTACAACCTGATACGAATAAGGAAGGGGGATGAATGGAAAACCACCATGTTCACCCCTTTAGGGGCATTTGAATATTTGGTTATGCCCTTCGGCCTACAAGCAGGCTCCGCATGCTTTCAATCGTTTATGAACCACGTCCTGGGGCCTTTGCTTTACAAGAATTGTGTGGCCTTTTAGACGACGTGTTGGTGTATTCTGAGAATGAGGAGCAGCATGTGAGAGACGTCAGAGAAGTGTTGAGCAGGCTGCAAGCCAACCAGCTGTGGGTGAAACTGGAGAAGTGTCAGTTTCATACCAAGGAGGTGGAATTCCTGGGGTATCGCCTGTCAGACAAGGGATTGGCCATGGATCCCGGCAAGGTCCAGGCGGTGCTGGAATGGAAAACACCCAAAACAAGGAAGGATGTGCAGAGGTTCCTAGGATTTGGGAACTTCTATCGTAAGTTCATCCGAAACTTTGCCCACCTGACGGCGCCCATTACGGACTGTCTCAGCAGTAAGAAGAAGTTCGTTTGGACTGAGGAGGCGGAACGAGCATTTGAGGAACTAAAAAGGGCCTTCGCCTCGGAAAAACAACTCCTGCATGTGGATTTACAAAAACCGATGAGAGTGGAAACTGACGCATCAGACAGAGCGATTGGGGCGGTGCTGCTGCAGCCAGGGAAGGAGGAGTCAGAGTGGAGACCGTGTGCTTTTTTTTTCGCGAAAGCTGAACAAATCCGAGAGGAACTACACGGTGTATGACCGAGAACTACTAGCCATTCATGAGGCGTTCCGGAGATGGAGGCACCTGCTAATTGGCGCACAACATAAGGTGCAAGTGTGCACTGACCACAAGAACCTAGAGTATTGGAGGACAGCACGAGTGCTGA